CTCCTTGAGCCTGGGGTAGCACATGTCGAGCTACAGTGGTGCCGAAACCCGGGAGGAGGACGCCAACGCACCGAGGGAGTCTCCGCGGCAGAAGAAGAGGCCATCAAGACCCTGGTCCACCTGCACCTGGCCGGCTGGCGGAAGCTGCAAGCTGTCTTCCAGGATGCTGAAAAGCACTGGAAGCAGCTTGAGGAGCAGCAGGTGGAGACCCATCAGATGGTCAGGAGCCTGCTGGCGGAGCGGCAACCCTCGGTGGGCGTGGGGGCAGGAGCCCCCCTCTCACTGCCCCTCAAACCTCCAGTCCCAGCTCCCAGGAGGACTGGAGCCCTTCTCCCCCCTCCCCTTCCTGCTCCGAGGGCGCTCAGAGCTCACCTTCTCCCCCCTCCCCTTCCTGCTCCGAGGGTGCCCGGAGCCTGGCTTCTCTCTCCTCCCGTCCCTGCTCTGAGAGCGGTCGGAGCACACCTTCCTTCCCTTCCCGTCCCCGCTCCGAGGAGGTTCGGAGCGGCCCTTCTCTCCTCTCCTATACCCGCTCTGAGAGGACTCGGGGCTCATTTCCTTTCCCCTCCCCTCACTGCCGCCGTAGACGTCGCCGAGGCCCCGCCTGCCGCCGAAGACGTCGCTGAGGCCCCGCCTGCCGCCGAAGTCAGTGCGACCCTGGCTTCTCCCACCCTCCTGCCCTGCGCTGGGTCCTTCCCTGGGGGGGTGCGATGGCTCAGGCCGGGTTCCCGGCCTGAGTTGGGTGGTGGGGGTATGTGGCATGCGCCCGCCCCCTGGACACCCAGCGACGGCAGGGAGAGAGCCGCGAGTGGGGAGGGGGCAGAGCGCAAAGCCCAAGCTCCTCCGAATAACCCGAGTGATGCGAGTGACGACGGGAGGAGGAGGAAGACGACGACGGTGCCGGCAATGAGAGGCACCGGGGCAAGGAGCGAGTCCCGAATAAAAGAATAAAAGAAATATGGCTGCTGCGACACTGAACCCTGCCTCCAGCGTCCTCCTTGAACCCGGGGTAGCACATGCCGTGCTACAGAGGGATACTGCCCAGGGGAAAGTGGTTCCCGCAGTCCTTCGCTTTCCCATCACCACAACTGCTCAGGGGTTCCGTCGTCCAACACCTCCAGTCGTGTGGATAGTGGTCAACACGGGTGTCCTCGTTCCAGAGCCATGCCTGACTCCTCAGGGGGAGGTACTCATGCTTCCCTCCATTCCCGTTGTCTCTGCCTCCCAACCTCCGGACTCCCAGAACCCCACCCCGGATCGCATGACCTCCGATCTCCCTCACATGACTCTACAACGGTCTGACTCAACTGACTACTGATTACAGACACCTCTTGCTTGTTCCATGTGCCTATCAGTTTAGTATATAAGCCCCAGCTTTCGCATAGCTTCTTTGTGAAGTATTGTCTTTGTTCTCAGAGCATTACCGACCCTTCCGTTTGTCTGTTTTCCTTATGGTGTATGACCATTGCCTTGTTTGTTTTTCAGCCTTGCCTTTAGCCCTGCCTTTTCAGTATTGTTGCATTTTATGGTTTGACCTTGTTTCTGGATTTTGGATATTGCTTTTTTGGACTCACTTGGTTACTGTTTTCGTGTTTTGACTGTGGATTGGCTGACCTTGATTTTGGATCCTCCCATTGTTAATAAACCCACCCATTTGGGTGGTCTGCGGGCATCTGAATTCTGTCCCCGGCCTTATAGTTACACATGACTACACACAGTTACACACAGTTAGCCAGAGAGAGTCTGAAATTCAACAGCAGAGATTGGATTATTATTTTGCTGATAGAATGAAATAGCTATATAGTTACATGAGTGCTCGTGTCAGTACAGGTAGCTTTTCTCCTGACTGACTTGTTGCTGACAATTATTTTGAGCACACATTCTTTTCTTTCCAGCTCCACTCTTTTCTGCTTATCTATGTTGAGAAAATGCTAGCTGACTAACTGAGCTAGCTGGCTTTTCAGCTAGCACTGCTTGTCTCCAATCTGATGCCAATTGCATAACACTGCAGGCCAGAGAGACACAAGGAACAGGGTTGTTGACGTCTGAATGGATATGGCTGTGTTGCAGTCTACTTTAGTTCATCTTTGCATCGAGCTCGACCATACAGGCCAGCTGACAGGCCAGGCCACGAGGAAAATCTCTCAATCCTAACAATGGGCAGTCTGTGCCTAACACCCAGTCATGTTGTGGGCTTAGAATTATAAGTTTCTATTTGACATTTTTGTTGTGCATAGTTAATTATTAAAGTCAAAGTCAAGTCAAAGTTTATTTATATAGCGCTTTTTACAACAGGTGTTGTCACAAAGCAGCTTTACAGAAAAATCTGAGTCCAAGCCCCCATGAGCAAGCCAATGGCGACAGTGGCAAGGAAAAACTCCCAAAGAGCAAGAGGAAGAAACCTTGAGAGGAACCAAGACTCAAAAGGGGAACCCATCCTCCTCTGGTTGACACCAGATAGCAAACAGCATTAGTATAAAATATTAGAATACAAAACGGGGAAAAACAGGTGGAGCAATGGTTAGTTAGATAGTTTGAGTTCATGCAGCAGCAGCAGCATCATCATCAGGAGGGTCAGTTCATGCAGGTGAGGTTTGCACAACTTTGTACGACATGAAACTCCATGGTGGTCAAAACAGTGCAGATCAGCCAACAGAGATGGAGCTCTGGTGACTCTAGCAGCTCTGGTGGCTCACATGTGGCAACTGAGGCAGACGTCTCTTTATGGAGAGATATTAGTGAGTTAATAGTGTAACAACTGATATTAGCAAAATGCTTGTGCAAACAGATACGTTGTGAGTCTAGTTTTAAATGTAGAGTGTCCCAAACAGAGGTCGGGAGATGATTCCAGAATTTTGGGGCTACGTAGGAAAATGCTCGACCCCCTGCTGTGGTTTTTCTAATTCTAGGAACTGTCAGCAAGCCATTATTTTGTGAGCGGAGCGTACATGTGGGTTCATATGACTGAATTAATTCACTAAGATACTGCGGGGCCAGGCCAGTTAATGATTTATACGTTAAGAGAAGGATCTTATACTCTACATGAAGTTTAACAGGTAGCCAGTGTAATGATGACAGGATTGGGGATATATGGTCAAAACACTGAATTGAAACATTGTGGTGAATTATTAAAATAAATAGATAATGAAGCATATCCAGATCATTAGTACACTCTGTGTTTGAGTGTTTGTATAGATCTGTGCCATCAATAAGGCTAATTTTATCATTAAGTCATAGTTTAGTATCCCTCTGGAGTCAGTTAAGATACACTCCCTTTTCATGTTATTCACTTTTAAGCATGACACATCTGAAAACCCACAATAAAACAGGGGGTTACATATGTACCCTTGGTTCTGTGGATGAAAGAAAGGCGGCCCAAAGCTGAATATTAATCCCAACCTACAGATGAGGTAGACAATGTCAAAATAATCATGTGGAACAGCCCTTCTGTTCTAGCATGACTGTGCCACAGTGCATAAAGCAAGGTCCATAAAGGCATGGCTGGGTGAGTTTGGTGTGGAGGAACTTGACTGGCCTGCATAGAGCCTCAAACGCATCCAACACTTGTGGGTTGAACTAAAATGAAGAATGCGAGCCAGGCCCTCTCGTCCAAACATCAGTGTCTGACCTCACACATACAAAATTTCCCACAGACACACTCTTGAAAATCTTGTAGAAAGCTTCCCAGAAGAGTGGAAGCTGTGATAGCTGCAAAGGGGGGGACCAACTCCATATGAATTACTTATGGACTTACAATGGGATGTCATAAATTGTTCTGTAGCTTCTGTAATATGTAGTTGTCCCAATACTTTTGTCCATATGGTTTATATTGTCGCTGTTCAATGAAAAACATGTATCTCCATTTTTTTTCGATTTTTACTTTTCTGCATCATTTGAGCTGAGCTGTCCTTTACATTGTTTGAAAATTTCATGATGATTGGACCATTAGAAATGCTCAAAAATTGCTTAGAATAAAATGTCTTTCCATTAACTTACACAGAAAGTAAAGAAAGTTTTGTCCTCTTCTGTAAAATTACTATTTTAGAGATACTTCGGACAGTGATGATATATAAATGATCTGTACTGCTGGCCTGCCCTGTATTGTACCTTATTCAAAGCAGTCTGGGCTGAAACACTCCTTTTAACTTTAGTGTGTATGAGGCTTATATGCTGCAGACTACATGCAGACACATGTAAATGCATTGGTTTTCATAACATTACAATGATAATGAAATCAAAACGGGCTGTTTATGCAGCTTTATTTTCATATATGGACTATATGGACTGGACACTGACACTACATTTTGATACTTTAACAATGTTTACATACTACATCAATAATAAAGGAGTCAACATTCACACCTTTGCTGTCCTTTGCTGAAGCCATTGCTCCAGCACAATGTTCACACTCCCTATCCTACCCACCTCCTTTGAAATTTCCATGAAGAGACTGAATTAAGTTTTTTTCGTTTTTAATCCCAGTCTTAACAGGTGTCTTTCAAAGATAATGTGGAAGTAAATATTAAACTGAAAAAATTTAGATTTTGTATTGTGTTGTTTTTTGTTTTTTTTGTTTTTTTTTACATGTGTTTCTTGCCTTGGCAACTGCACCTTTTTTGTTTTTCATCTGTTTTTATTGTTGAAAATAATGGCATCATAAATGCAAACATGAAGAATAACCATGGGTGTTCAAAACACTTTTTTGGAACATTTTTAAAATATTCAAGTAGTGTATTTACATTTTTTCATAAATTTTCAACTCAAATATATACCTGAATGCTAACCAAATAAATGTTCTTACTTCATACAAAATTGTTAGCTTGCATTGTTAACTAATGTTAACCTACAATCATAGGCGTGTTTCAATTTTTTTTTTTTAAATATTATAATGGAAGCCTGAAGTGATGAATTTCAGCCTTTTAACTCAAAAACAAAAAAGAAACAAAACAATAAACAATTCTGTGTTTTATGAAAATAAGCCAAACTACATTTATTATATTACTTTAATTCTTTGCAATGTTTTTCACAGGATCTTCCATTGCAAAGTTCACCTTGATTCGTTTGTAAAGTACTTTAATAGACTGCAGGACCTCCTCTGTCTTCAGAGTATATATGATGGGGTTTAACATGGGTGGAATTGTTTGTGTTAGGATAGAGTTGATTATTCTAGCATTTGGATGTATGTATGTTGCACGAGCAGTAATATAAACACTGAAGATTGGTAGATAAAACATGGCCACTAAAGTGAGGTGGGAAGTGCAGGTTTTCATAGCTTTGATTCGCTCAGCCCCATGTGAGATCTTACACAGAGCAAAACCAATACAAACATATGAGAGAGCTATTAGCATCAACGGAATGAAAAACACAACAGCAGAGTAGACATAGGCCATTATGATGTTAGGAAAAGTATCATTACAGGCTAGTCTGTAGGTGGGACCATGATCACAGAAATAGCTGTCAATTGTGATAGATCTACAGAAGGACAGTCTGGTAATCAGAGCTACAAGGATGGTGATGAGAGATACAGAGAAAATCCACATAACACCAATGATCAGAGTCATTGTGGTTTTGGTGACAATAGCATGATACCTCAGAGGAAAACATATAGCAATTACTCTGTCAAAGGACAAAGCAAGCAGAGTAAAGGACTGCATGGTCATAAAAAGAAAAACAAAAAACATGCTTGTCAGACATTCTTCATAAGATATGTACTGGTTCTCAAGCAGAAACATGTCTGCATACTTAGGAATAATAGAAGAGCTTCCACACAGATCAGACAAGGCCAAGTTGAAAACAGCTATATACTTTGCTGTGTGTAGAGCATGTGCCAGGTATATAGTACCCATTATCAGAAAATTCCCTAAAATAGTCACAGTATACACAAAGCATAAAAACATATAGTAATACTTTGCATACGGTATGTTGTACAATCCATTGATGTAAAATAGAGGGGGGTGAATGAGTGTTGCATTTTCAAGGGACACCACAGATGTCATGTCTGTTGAATGTAAGAAAGAATAATAATAAAACCTTCTAACAGGTTTTTTCACACTACAAATCATCAAAACATAAACTCTGAATGAAGGAAAGAATAATCATAGATAATAATAATAGAACCTTCAAACTTTTTTACACAACAAATCATTAAAACATAAATACAAAATAATAGCAAATAACATTTTTTGTAAAATCATTCATCACATATTAAACAACAGTACAGGGTGCTAAAATCTGATCCACAATTGTTTGATACAATACCTTCTGTAGCAGGCCAAAACCTTTTAGAGCAGAATTTCAGGAGAGATCAGACACATTTATAACTGACCTATGTTTACGTCATCCTCAAAACCACACCTCCAAAAAAACACAAATCTCTATAGAAAAGGTTGGATACTAAACTGGAATACATTAATGCAGTAAATAAAAAGCACAAAAGGAATCTATAGGAAATTAAATGTGTGTACTGAATAATAAATCAGGACAGAATGTCTGCAATGTCATTCATGCAGCTTACTCTTCCAGTGTTAGTAGACGTTTGTCCACAATGACTGCATAAAATGCTTTCTGCCAGGCACTCCAACATTTAAGTTGAGCACAGATTTATCTTTGTTTTCCATTTCCCTTAATCCTTTCGGAGAAAAAAGTCCAAATGGTACAAATGGTTTTAACTCAAGGTTTTATTTGTAATGAAAAAATTACTGTAGCCTTCATCCTGACACACACATGTCAATCATTTGGCAAGGGTGAGACCAAATGTTATCATAAATCATACAGTGTGACAAAGTAAACCATCACCAAAAATCAGATGTTTGATTTGTTAAATTTTGAGTATAAAGTCATTTAGGAAGTTATATAAGTTATGTCATCACCAATCATATTTTTGGTGACAGATAAAATGGTGAAACCTTAGTGCTTTCTTGGCCTTCAGAGAAGGTCTAATGATTACTCAGACTAAAAAAACAGTCTGTAGGTCTTAGCTCATTATACCTCATAGAGTCATTCATACCTTTCTGCAAAAACACTCAGGTGGTTCACATAGGCTAAAAATTACGTTGGCTGCAGGCTGCCTGTAGTGGGGCCCTAGATAGTTGTGAAAACAGGAGCACATGCAGGGCCCCATGTCATGGCCCCATGCTGACAGCCCACAATAAGCCCCCATGTGAGCCCTTAAATTTTTGGCCCACATTTTTAGCCCATTGCTGGGATGGCCCACCAACATTGAGGCTGTGCATACACCAATAAATTTTACTTATTAACTAATAAATGTTACTTATTTTTCCGTATTGGCAGACACACACACATACACAAAAGTCCACATACTGTCTCATTTTGCAGTCACATCTAACAACTTAAATATTTCATTTAATGTGACTTACACAGTCATGACTATTTGCCTTGCATTAGAACATGACAGAGTGATATGGTGGTGTGCAAATCTTGAGTGTGGGGATGTATGTTAAAATACATTAGACAAACCTATTCTAATATTGTCGTATTCTGTATGCAGACCTGATTTGCACTATACAGATGTAATGTATGTTCAAGTAAATTTTTTGTGTTAAAAGCACCAAGAACAAACTTAATCTTAATAAATGTTCTATTAAATAAGAACAGTGATAATGTAACACTATACAAACTTTTTACTAAACCAGCAACTTATTTTTAGCTCAACCGTAAAATGTATTATTATTCAGAAACAGAAAACAGATTAGATATTGCCATATAACCTACAATATATAATAATATATATATATATTTCTTTTTTGACAGGGGTCGGACTTTGAATAAGAGATCGAATTATGGAGGGAATTTGTTCAACCGTGAGTGTCTTTTACTTTTTCATTCCACCTTAAATGATATATGATGACAAAATATGTTAAAAGTTTTTCAGTCAAAGAACCAATTTCTTAAGTTGTCAGTTAGTTAGCTAACTGGCTGAGCTGCCTTCGTAGCAGTTGTAAAATACATAATATGTGCACACCTATTACTTTTTTTTCCCCCAACTGAGAGGGTTGACAACTTATTTCTTAACAAGATCTTGGCTAGTCAGAAAACTAACAGTTTAAAAGATAGCTAACAGGCTAAATGACTCCATTTATATCACAGGCTTGAATTAAAGTACTTACAATATGATTTATTGTAAATCTGCAATATAAAAGTCTGAAGAATGTCACTTAACTGGCTTACAAACTTCAAGCACTTCACCTGTTTCAGTCAGAAATAGCATCAAGCCCAGGCTGAATCTCAAATGGCTCTGTACTTCCTAAATATTGTGCTATGTAAGTTTTGAAATTCTAGCTTCTACAGCCATAAAGTGCACTATTTGTCGAGTGTGAATTTGGCCAAATCCCAAAGCACTATTTTAGCTATATTATGCACCGTTGGGTTGCAGTAGCCAGTATTTGAATTCATACATTGTGCACTATGTAGGGAGTAGGGAGGTGTTTGAGATTCAGCCCCTGCATGGGAGGAGTGGCACCTTTAAATTGGTGCTACGCTACATCGACATTAGGACACCAACACATTACACCCACAGGAGGAGCTTTAATGACATCTTATTCTAAATCCATAGACATTATTATGGAGTTGGTTCCCCTCTTTGCAGCTATAACAGCTTCTACTTGTCTGGGAAACTTTCTACAAGATTTTTGAGTGTATCCATGAGAATTTTTGCACATTCATCCAGAAGAGCATTTGTGAGGTCAGACACTGATATTGGACGAGAGGGCCTGGCTTGCAATCTCCATTCTAGTTTATCCCAAAGGTGTTTGATGGGGTTGAGGTCAGGGCTCTGTGCGGGCCAGTCAAGTTCTTCCGCACCAAACTCGCCCAACCATGCCTTTACGGACCTTAATGCTGAGGCTTTAAGATTTCCCTTAACTGGAACTAAAGGGGCCTAGGCTACCCTGAAAAACAACCCCATGGCATCCTCTACCAAACTTTACACTTGGCACAATGCTGTCAGACAGGTAATGTTCTCCTGGCATTTGCCAAACTCAGCCTCGTTTACACCCCTCCATCTGACACTTGGCATTGTGCTTGGTGATGTAAGGCTTGCATGCAGCTGCTTGGCCATAGAAAACCCATGCCATGAAGCTCCTGGCATGCAGTTTTTATGCTGATGTTAATGCCAGAGAAAGTTTGGAACTCAGAAGTTATTGAGTCAGCACAGTGTTGGTGACTTCATGCACTATGTGCCTCAGCACTCTGCGACACCGCTCTGTAACTTTGCGTGATCTGCCACTTTATGGCTGAGTTGCTGTGATTCCTAAACACTTCCACTTTTCAATAATACCACGCACAGTTGATCATGGAATATCAAGGAAGGAAGAAATTTCACAAAATTACTTTTTGCAATGATGCCATTCTATTACAGTACCACACTCAAATTCAGTGAGCTTTTTAGAATGACCCATTCTTTTTTATAAACATAAAGGCAGACTGTATGGATCGGTGCTTGTTTTTATACACCTTTGTCAATGAAACTGAATGAAACACATGAATTCGATGATTAAAAGGTGTTCCAAAACATTTGTCCATGTATACACACTTTATATGACTTGCAGTGATAATTTGGTGACCAAAAAGTACTTATAAAACTCCTTAATATCCCAGGGCTATTACGTACTAAAGCTCATTATTCAGTAACTACAGGCACTTCAGTGCAATGCAAAAATGACAAAGTTAATTAAATGACCACAATATACAGTGACTGTCCTTATTCAGCAGTCTGTGGTTGGCAATTCCCATTCTTAAAGGGATAGATGCCATTTAATGCCTAATCTTTATTATATTATATATATATATATATATATATATATATATATATATATATATATATATATATTCTCCCACTACTTACTTTCTCCCAACATGCCAGCCAGTGGTAGCTGAGCTGAGGGACTGCACAAATTCTGCCATTCATTTGGTCATTCATTCTCTTTTCCTTGCTAACCTTTAGAACGACAATGAAGATAACCGAAAAAACACAGAAGATGACATGAGTAATGCATCAAACAGTGAAGATGATGTGGACAATGAAAACTGCACGAGTAGCCTGTTTGACATTCAAGAGGTAAATACACAATACACATACATCACACAGTTTTTACCTTGGATTAAATAAATGCCTGTCTTCTTAAATCCTTTTTCCCTTAAACTGTAGAATGAGGAAGACCTATCAGATTCTGAAGGGAGCAGGCTTGATATAATGCTTGATATAAATGAACGTGATGGACAATAACAGACATAGCAATAGGGATTATGTCAAAATAGCAGCCTTGTGCCAACATTCAGCAAAAGTAGTAGCAGAATAATTAGAATTACATAAATAATGGAACTGTGACTTGTTATTAGTTATATTTGTATAATTTGCTCTGGATAATTATATAACCCAAAGACTCTACCCATATTGAACGCATACAGGTGGCTACTCTTTCTTTTGGGTTTGCAGCTTTTTAGGATATAATGAAATTGTCATCAGTTTTGTGATAACCCAGGGCAAGCATTTCTAAAAATCAATTTTCTAAAATAAAAGAAATCATGCTAGACTGGTGTTCCTGCTTCATTCTGCAGGTGCACACATTTTTTCATCTTTTGTCTCTCTCTCTCTCTCTCTCTCTCTCTCTCTCTCTCTCTGTAGGGCAGTGAGAAAAAGAGCAGATACTGGTGACAAGCCCTTGGATCCTGATGCACCTCTTTCAAAAGGAAAAAGTGTATTGTCCAGTCTGTTTAATATAATGTTACCAGGTCTTATTCCATATTTACATTACTTTTTCCACAAAGGAAGTTTTTTGGACGTTCATCTAAATTGAAAGTTCACTTTTGTTGTACAAGCTGTTTAAAATACCTTGGCATTAGAGCAGACTGTCCCTTTCAATGTGACTCTTGCAACACAGTTTTTGATGCCAATGCAAACCTAAAGAATGGCTTCTTCTTGTGTTGCCCCTGTGTGCACAGATTAAGTAAATTCTGCAAGAACATGGTGTCAGTCTTAATGAAAAAACTAGAACCTTCACGGTTCTCTCTGTTATGTGACAGTGGAGTTCTTGGAAAGGAAGACTTGACACCAACATATATAGCCTGTTACAACACTCTCACACCTTGGAAGAATATTGTCAATAAAATCTGCCAAATGTTTATGGGTTTCTATGTTGGTTAACACTGTGTTCATAAACGATGAGGTTCAGCTCCACCCATGTACTATTTACTCTAAGCTACAAGCTTAATTTACCCTAAACTACAAGCCAAGTATGGTTACACATTAAGTCAATAATATTTAATTATACTTTTCTTAAGTATGCCAAATATACTTAAGACTTTTTGTATACTTGTTAGTATAAGCAAGGTATACTTAAGTATAACTGTCTAGTATATCGCTGATATACAAAGGCTGAATTAAGTTTTTTCTTTTTTTTTTGAAATCTTAAAAGCTGTCTTTCAAAAATCATGGGGCAGTATATATCAAACTGAAAAAAAGCTATATACAAGGTTCACATTTTTATTTGTATTTCTTACATTGGCAAACGCCCTTTCTTTGTTTATATTTCATCTGTTTGTATTGATAGAAGCAATGGCTACATAAACATAAACCTGAAAAGCAAACATGCAGGTTCAAAACACTTATTTGGAATATTTTTATAAATATTTAAGCAGTGTATAGACATTTATTTAAAAGTCTTCATTCAAATATACAACTGAATGAAATGTTCTACACCCAAATAAATGTTCTAACTCAATGTTACAATTGTTAACTTGTAGTACATTATACTGCAATCATGGGCCTATTCTTTAATAATAATAAAACAAGTTACTATAATGGAAGCCAAAAGGGAGGAATAGCCGATTCTCTGTTTCATGCTAATAAACCAAATTACAGATGCCATTTCAGTTCTTTGCAATACTTTTAATTGAATCTTCAATCGTAAAGTTCACCTTGATTCGTTTGTAAAGTACTTTTATAGACTGCAGGACCTCCTCTGTCTTCAGAGAATATATGATGGGGTTTAACATGGATGGAATTGTTTGTGTTAGGACTGAGTTGATTATTCTAGTATTTGGATGTAGATATGTTGTAAGAGCAGTAATGTAAACGCTAAAGATTGGTAGATAAAACATGGCCACTAATATGAGGTGGGAAGTGCAGGTTTTCATAGCTTTGATTCGCTCAGCCCCATGTGAGATCTTAAGCAATGCAACACCAATACAAACATACGAGAAAGCTATTAGTGTCAATGGAATGCAAAGCACAACAGAAACATAGACGTAGGCCATCATGTAATTAGGAGAATTATCATTACAGGCAAGCCTGAAAATGGGGCCATTATCACAGAAATAACTGCCAACTACGGTAGATCTACAGAAGGACAGTCTGGTAACCAGAGCTACAAGGACAGTAACAATAGATACAGAGATAACCCATATAACACCTATGATCAGAGTCATTGTGGTTTTAGTGACAATAGCATGATACCTCAGAGGAAAACATATAGCAATTACTCTGTCAAAGGACAAAGCAAGCAGAGTAAAGGACTGCAGAGTCATAAAAAGAAAAACAAAAAACATGCTTGTCAGACAGTCTTCATAAGATATGTACTGGTTCTCATGCAGAAACATGTCTGCATACTTTGGAATAAGAGCAGAGCTTCCACCCAGATCAGACAAGGCCAAGTTGAAGACAGCTATATACTTTGCTGTATGCAGAGTGCGTGCCAGGTATATAGTGCCCATTATAAAAGAATTCCCTAAAACAGTCACAGCGTACACAAAACACAAAAACATATAGTAGTAATTTGCATGTGGCATGTTGTACAATCCATTGACGTAAAATGTAGGGGGGCGAATGAATGTAGCATTCTCAAGGGGTACCACAGAAGTCATGTCAGGAGTCTGTTCTTAAATAAAATGCAGGATAGTTATAGTTATAGAACCTTCAAACAGTTCACCACACTACAAATCATCAAAATATAAATGCAAATAAAAAATGAATGAGAATTTTTAATATACACCATAAATCAAATGTAAATGGCAATCTCTGTAATACTAATTAAAACATATGAAACAAGAATACAGAATGTTTAAAACACATCCATAATGGTTTAATACAATACCTTTTGCTGCAGGACAAAATCTTTTAGAGCAGTAATTTCAGGACAGATCAAACTTATTTATAACTGCTAGATGTTTACGTCATCCTCAAAAGTACACCTCAGACAAACCTCTATAGAAAAGATTGTACAGTAAACTGGAATTAATTTGTTGTAATTAAAAAAATCAATAATGGATTCCCTCATAAATAAAAATGCCATAATAAATGATAAATCACGCTAGAATTCAGGATTATCATAATTGTGTCTGCAATGTAATACACCTCCTGCCCTAGCAGTGTTTGGAGGCAGTAAGGTACCCAGGCATTGTCAATAAAAATAAATTCCATTTAGTTTATTTTTATTCCATAGAATCATCATACTCATCACAAATAAACTTTTTCATTGAGAAAACACATTAATAGGAATGTATTTCACACTATAGTTGCCTTGATTGTTACTCTGATGACACTAATAAGTAATAAGTGCTCACCAATTAAATTCTGTTCTGAATGTGCTTGTGCATTCACTCTTAAACTTTTGCAGTGCATCCAGCAACAAAAGCAGCATCATGCTTCTCTTATATAGTGGTAGAAAACATAGAAAGCTGCAATTCCACATGCTGATCCATTTTACTACGGCCAATATGAACATGCATGCATCATAGCTACTGCAGAGGCACATTTATATGAGTTAAAGAGGACAAAATGTATCTCCAGTCAGAAATTACATTTGATTAATGCTTGTCTTGTTTCTCATATTTCTGTGTTTATAATGTCAAACAGTGACTATAAGAGCTAGACCTTTAGTTCAGGTCATACATGTACGATCAAACTCACATCTGGTAGACCTGTGTGTAAATTTGTGTAATAGTTTAACAATCTGAAAAGATGCTTGATTTTCAGTTAACTAACCAAAAAAAAATGATCAATATCATAATAAGGATAAAAATGAAAGATCACAATAAAAGTAATGGTAACACTTTCTATGAAGGTCACGTTTGTAAGCATCTATAAATACATTCATAAGATGTTATAATGCATTCATAAGGCATCATAACCATGGCTATAAATATTTATAAATATGCATATGCTTATTATGCATTATGAATTGTTAACATAATGCATGATAAGTACTGTTCATAACAAATTATAATAGCTCATAACTTGTATTTGTCTGCTCTAAGTAAAGTGAGGCATACTGTACTAAAGCCTCCTCCAGTGTTGAGAGTGAGGCTTCAAGTTGAAGTATTTATTGAAGAATTTATTGAAAGACTAAATTATACACAGTAAAGCACATTACAGGCTTCAAATGCCAGATTTTAAACTAGTGATGTCATCAGTAGTGTTTTTATACTTGGTTTGCTGTGATGTAATGTAACATATAAAGTGAGAGTGCTGGTTAAGAAAAGCACATTGTAGCAATAATTCTAGGCTGGACAGCCTGTTTGGAGCATATGAATATTCAGGACTGAAGCCCCGAAGAGCCCTAACAGCAACAACAGCAAGAAATATAATACTGGAAATCCCAGGGCAAAAATAAAAAAAAAGTCTTTACACTCTCCAAGCTGGGACTGACTTCTGACAGTATAACATGTTATTAACACTACTTATAATGCATTATATTAACAATTCATAATGTATAAAAACAAGTGTAATGCAGTGTAATTCATTTTTTTGAATAAGATTTATAAGCCTTATGAATGTATTATAACATGTTATAAATGTGTTTATAGATGCTTACAAATGTGACATTCATAGAAAGTGTTACCAAAGTAATCATTTGTAATAATTTGTGCACATGGCAAACCAGTACAAAAGTAAGTGGATGCACTTATTTGTGTAGTATGTCTTTAACTATATCCATTTAAAGATATATTAAACAATGCTTTTGTTTTATACTTTTTACCCCGGCCCCCCAAAAAAAATACAAAACACAGCTAGTGCAAACTACAGCATGTACCCAATAACGATTTTAATCCACCATGTAACTTCTTTTCACTTAAGCATTGTTTTGAAATGATCTTTTAGCAATTTCATTCCTTTGTCTTAGGAGTCACATTTCTTTTATAAGTAGAATGGTTAATGATTCAAGTAACTGTATGTAACCATGGTATGGAATACGTTTAGGTATAATAATCCGTAAGGTCAATAATTACTTGTAATAGGTACTTGTGGAGAAGGGGGCGTGGCTGAGCGTCGAATGCAGGATGGAGAAGCCGGTCGGGCTGAACCAGCGGGCTAAGTAGCTGATTATGTTCACCTGTGCCTTGTTTCTGCCAGCCTACTTATCGTCATCTCTTCCCTCAGTAGGTGGCAGAGCCCAGAGAGAGAAGGAGACCTGTGAAAGCGTGAGAGCTGAGCTGAGCTGACTGAAAAGAAAGAAAGAAAGAAAGGACTAAAGAAAAGTCCCAGCAAGCGTCTTGTCTCACTTTGTGGGCTGAAAAGCCGAGTAGTTTTTGCATTGTGTATACAAAATAATAAAAAGCTCTCCGTCTTCACCCCTGCCCTCTGGTGTCCTTCCTCCACCCGTCATTAAAACTGTTACAGTGGTGCCAAAACCCTGGAGGAATGGATTCCTCACCTCTTGGAGAGTTAGACAGGAAGTTTCTTCTTAGTTTGTTGTCAGCCACCAGTACTCCAGCTCCGGCTACCATCTCTATTTCGAAGATGACTCCACAAGACGACCCAGAAGTGTTCGTGGAGCTCTTCAAGAGAGCGGCGGAAGACTGGGGGAGGCCGAAAAAGGACTGGGCCACCCGACTGCTGCCCCTGCTCATGGGGGAAGCCCAGCTTGCCGCCCAACAGCTCCTTGCTCAATCGCAGCTGGAGTACGATGAGCTGAAGAAGGCCATCATCCATAGGGTTGGTCGAACTCCGGAGCAACACCGTCAGCAGTTCCGCACACTGATGGTCCAAGAGTTTGACCGGCCCTTTGTGCTAGCTCAACAGCTCCGTGATTCCTGCAGGAGGTGGCTCTTGTCCGAAGAGCATGATTCCGAGGAGGTGCTCGACCTGGTGGTACTGGAGCAGTTCATCGCCCGCTTACCCGAGGAAATGGCAGCTTGGGTCCAGTGGCACCAACCGGAATCGCTGGACGAGGCCACAAAGCTGGCACAGGCGCCCATGGCGGCGTATTCGGGGGAGCCCACAAGAGCTGGGGTGAAGCCTGGGCAGGTGTGTTGGTGATGTGGGGAACCCAGACATTTCCATGTCAGTTTCCACGTCGCCACCCACCACCCCTGATCGAGCTGGAGCGTACCGCATACCAGTGAGTATTCAAGGGGGTACATATCAAGCCTTGGTGGATTCTGGCTGTAATCAAACCACGATCACCAATGCTTCAAGACGTGGCATTGGTAAATGTGCAGCATATCGGGCATATCGGGTAAAGGTGCAGTGTGTCCATGGGGATGTACACAATTATCCTGTCCTGCTCATTTACAATCAGGGAAAAAAGCATAGCGTGAAGGCGGCCGTTAGTCCTCACCTTACCCATCCTCTGATTTTGGGGACAAATTGGCTGCAGTTCGGGGTGTTAGTGAAGGCTTTGGTAGAGGATGGGTCCCGCATAAGGAAGGGGGCATGTGCCGCGCTCGAGGCAGGCTAGCTTCCACATCCATCTGTGACAGCTCCTGAGCTAGGGGGTGTGTGAGATGGTTCCTCCGGGGGTGGGGCCAAACCTGACAGCGTGGCCATACCTCCGGGAGTTACACTCCTGGCTCCCCTTGGGGATTTCCCTCTGGAGCAGTCACGTGACGATTCGCTGAGGCACGCCTTTGACCAAGTGAGGGTTATTGATGGTCAGTTGCTCGAGCCAGGTTGTCCCCTGTCATATCCGTATTTTTCCCACATTAAAGATAGATTACACAGAGTGACGTGGGACGCTCAAACTTCGGAGGTTTCAACCCAGCTGTTAGTACCGAAAAGCCGGTGCAAGTGGTGCCAGCTTGTAAACCCTCCGGCCATCCCAAAGGTGCCTTTCCGCCCCCTCCATTAATCGAGGTCCCCTTTGAAAGAATTGCTATGGACCTCGTCGGACCATTGGATCGAAGAGCACGTGGGTATCGCTTTGTATTGGTCTTAGTAGATTATGCAAAGCGATATCCAGAGGCAGTGCCTCTTTGCAACATTTCAGCATGTACCATTGCAGAGGCACTGTTGAAAGTGATCTCCCGAGTCAGGATCCCAAAAGAGATCCTGACTGATCAGGGCACTACGTTCATGTCACATACTTTATGCGAACTCTACGAATTGTTGGGCACTAAATCAATTCGTACCAGTGTTTACCACGCCCAAAAGGATGGACTGGTTGAATGCTTTAACCAAACCCTTAAAAATATGATTCAGAAGTTCGTTCACAAGGACGCTAAAAATTGGGATAAGTGGCTAGAACCCCCTTTGTTTGCAGGGCGAGAGGTCCCGCAAGCCTCCTCTGGGTTTTCTCCTTTTTGAATTATTGTATGGGAGGAGACCCAGGGGCATCCTAGACGTCGTTAAAGAGGGACCTTCAAACAGCAAAAATGAAATCCAGTACATTCTTGATCTGAGAGCAAAACTCCAAGCACTGGGGCACTTAACCCAGGAGAATTTGCTCCAGGCTCAAGAACGTCAGAGCCACGCCTACAACAAGGGCACCCGGCTGTGTAGGTTTTCACTGGGAGACAAAGTTCTCGTTTTACTCCCCACATCGAGCTCCAAATTTTGAGGTCACACAGTGAGTGGGAGAAGTTGACTATGAGGTCAGAAGGACAGACAGAGGCGGGGCACTTCAGGGATACCACCTCAATCTCCT